AAATAGTATAAATAATGTATTTTTTTCAAGACATAATAATAATAATAATAATAATTGGTATTCTACGGTAAAAATCTATTATTTAGATTTGAAAAAAAAACTAGACTTCAGTATTTTAAATAATAATATATACTTGATGCCTCGACGTCATAATAATAATAATTGGTATTCTACGGTAAAAATCTATTATTTAGATTTGAAAAAAAAAAAAAAACTCGACTTCAGTATTTTAAATAATAATATATACTTGATGCCCCGACGTCATAATAATAATTGATATTCTTCGGTGAAAATCTATTATTTAGATTTGAAAAAAAAAGAAAGTTTTAAGTGTTTATAATAGGATATTTTATTTCTACATAAAATTGGATATCATTTTTTTTTCCAATGTACAATTCTGTACACCCGGCTCTCGTCGTATCTGCCTCCATCGGAATAATCACTCGGATGGAATGATTGGGCGTCGTCTGAAAATGTAAGATGTGATTTAAAATATATTAGTTTTATTWWTATTATTAAGACTCACTTGATAAGTTCACGCCGTATGGAAATTGGCCGGATATAAGGTCTAATATTGGTGGTAAATCTGTGTCGSTTGTCTGCCAGGGTRAACGTTGACCGACTTCGAATCCTAACGAATATTTGTCATCCGGCAGTCCATATTCCGCGACTCGGAGCGTGTAGTCCTCCAGTCTATAAGTAGCGGGGAATAATTGCGGCGACTAYAATAAAATAAAGATTGATTTAAATATGATAATAAAAATAATAATAATAGTTGAAAAACTTACCAAACATCGAGACGTGGGGATATTGTCGTAAAATGAACACGAGGACAACATAATATTAATGTCTTGTTATTTCACGTTGAGCACGTTCACTGCAAATGGCGGGCTCTGAAAACTGTTTGGAGCCAGTGTTGCCATTAAGTAAAACCAATAATAAGCAAATAGGTGATAAAAAATATGCTAGATAATGCTAGATAAAAACTCTTCCAAAAAAGCTAGAAAAAGCTTTAAATTTTAATGTTGTTATAAAAATAAAATAATTCATTTATATATTATTATATATAAATATATTTTAATATAATATATCCCTAACCTATCCAATAACCAATTGTAAAATTCATAATAAAAATCATTTATTACTTCATAAATATAGGTCATTGTATTAAAGTATTAATAACAACATTTTAAATTAAAAAAATTAAAATAACACTTAGCTACTTAGGTATATATTACTGTTAGTATTACAGGTCCACCTAAATGTATGAAATCAGCCTTCCTTGACTAAATAATAAATAATAAATAATAAAATAACAAAGATTAAGGTAACATTTAGAGTATTATAGGTCAATCTAAATGTATTAAATCAGCCTTCCTTGACTAAATAATAAAATAACAAAAATTAAAGTAACATTAAGAGTATAACATGTCAATCTAAATGTATTAAATCAGCCTTCCTTGACTAAATAATAAAATAACAAAAATTAAAGTAACATTAAGAGTATTACATGTCAATCTAAATATATTAAATCAGCCTTCCTTG